AACCCTAAACCCTAAACCGGCGGAAGCAGAGAGGCTCGCTGGGTTCTGGCAGTGGTCATGGCATCTGTAGGAGATAAAGGTTTTCAGGTTCAGATCTCGGGGGTCAATTAGGGTTTTAAGGCAGAGCCCTGTGCTTCAAGGACTTCAATATTGGGATTTTACACGGTCATCCCTACGAGGCAGGGAGAGGGAGGCTAACCGTCAAAGGTCTGCATACCTGGATCTCTGGACCTGCTCGGGTTTATACAAGTGATAACCTTTAGGGTTTAGGGTTTAGGGTCTGATAACCTCCGCCCGGAAACGCGAGGTTCAGCACGATGCAAAGCCCGCTGACAGACGTCAGGACGAAGATGTACATGGCAACCTGGCCCGGAAGGTGTCCTAGTCATAGGAGCCCAAGCACTGCGCACAGACATACATGGGCAGTGCCCTGGTTCCTTTTCCGGTTCCCAATATAGTACGGCTCCCTTNNAAAAAGGGCCCTGAAAGGGACCCTAATTTAGACAACTACCCACATGCATGCATGTATATTCAGCTGGGTAAACGGACAGGTAGACGTTTCGAGGTGTGGCAATGCGGTAGCACAACGGACATCCAAGAAGAATGGGTCACATGTTTGGGGACAAGGGAGCTCTTGTGCCGGATCCCGATGGTTTGTGGGCTGAAGGCTTGGAAAGATCTCTTACTCTCTACCCTAAACCCTAAACCCTAAACCCGGAAGAGGCTGGCTGACTCCCGCCTCCTCCACATGGTCCATGAGCAGCATGATCATGACGACAGGAATTCCAAAGACCAAGCAGGAGGGCAGGGTGTAGCAGATCAGCACCCAGCCGCGGTAGACGATTTGCCTTTTCTAGGGAAGAAAGATGCTTTCAAGTCACTTGGGTGCGGGAAACCTGTTGCATGGATTTCCAAGGCTAGCCCAAACCCTCAAACCCTAAACACTCAAACCCTAAACTCGGAATCCTAAACCCTCAAACCCTGAACCGCAAACCCTGAACTCGAAATCCTATCAACCCAAAGTCGCCCCTATCATCGTTAGGTGGCACCTTCGGAAATGGTTTGGGCTTTAGGGTTTAGGGTTTAGGATTAGGGCTTCGGGTTTAGGGTTTAGGGATATGCCACAGACCCATCACAAGACCCCCAAACCTAGAAGCCCAAAGCACACCCCAGAAGGCATCACAAACCTACCCTCAACCCTAATCGTGTTTTCCCTGAGCCCTAAAGCCCTTTCTGGCACAGGCTTGGTTAGCCCTACAAACCCAAAACCTTAGGCCTTAAAACCTACATCCTAAACCCTAAACCTCAAAAGCCCTCGCTGTCTCTGCACCTTTTGCAAGGCCCGAGCCGCGACACACTCCCGAGGTTGCCGCCGCTGGCCACAAATCGAGGCAGCCAGAACCTCAAGGTTTAGGTTTTAGGGATTTAGCGTTAGGGTTTAGGGCTTTAGGGTTTTACGGTTTAGGGTTTAGGGTGTGGGGTTTTAGGGTTTAAGGTTTAGGGCATTAACCTCAAGCCATGAGCCTGGAGTAGGGTTGAGGGGCGTTAGGGCTTTAAGAAGCGAGGGCTTTTCGGGTCTTCAGCTACCAAGGCAGTGATAATGTAGGGGCCTTAATAATTAAGAATAGGGTTTTGGAGCCCATTATACTATACTTATGATAAGGA